ATGTTCATAACATTTGTTTGAGCTTGTTTGAGCTTGGCCTTCTTTACTGATTGTCTCCGTTAATATTTTGTATGTCAACTATTTGTGACATACTAGGATTGTAATAGATCAACAAAAATAAATACTTGAACGAAAATTGCAGTCCAAAAATTGTAGAAAGATCCCTTGTGGGATTGAAATGTTGCACTTTTCCAATAAACCTGCCGATTTAATCCTTGAGTTCCTGGACTACAATTTTTGTTCAACTATCACAGGAGGTGTAGCGAACCCCAGGCCTGGTTGCACCAGGATTTTAATGAATGTGTGGTATTCCTCTCTTTCTTTTGTTTATATACTAGGATAGTAAAGCGCTACAGAATATGTTGGCGCTATCTAAATAATACTATTACTAAGTAGGCGTGTAACAGCACAGTGGAGTATCAAAACTTTGCCTGCATTTAGAAATAATATGGCGTTTGATTTGTTTCTTCATTTGCCTCGATTGCACTCCTCACTCATACTTTAAAAGTGTTTACTAGGGTGAGAGAATAAGGAATTGTCACTTTCACAGAAGTGAAATTTCCTCTTTAATATTTTCGTATCCTGGGAAACAAATCAAGACATAATTTTATTTGCTGTATTCAAAAAATTCTGATAACAAGCAAGACAGATCTGTTTTACGCAAATGATCATTGGCCTAGCTTACACTCGGCTGTAAGTTCAAGTGTTACAGCGTCAAACATTTCCAGACTTGGCCTTCGCAAAGCCTTGAACAGAAAAATTGCAGGACATCAATCAACAAACTGCTGTGTCACAATAAAACAGACATATGGAAGCATTTGCCAACTAGAATTCAGGTCAGACTGACATAGCTGTACTGTTCCCAACGGTTAATGGCAGTCAGAGCAGCCACACATATCACACACAGCTAAACCCAGCCCTCAATTCAATACATTCATGACCTTGCTTTCAACCACAGCAAACTACATTCATAGACAGAGCATGACCTTTGCACCTCAAGTCGCCAGCACACCAAGTGTCATGTGGCCCATTATAAAAAGGAAAAGGGGCCCCAGTGATTTATACATCAGTGCTCTGATATGATTGCTGTAATTGCCCAGTGCAGCAGTATTCCTTGCATTCCTATTGATGACAGCTAACCCAATTTTATCAAACAGTGTATTATGGGGAACAACGAACAGCATGCTTGTAAGAATAGGGGGAGGGCGAAGGTAGTGGAGGCACTTTTATTCTTTTTCTTTTCTTTTTTTACCAATTTATACAGTAAGTGTACATAATCAATATTCTTTAAAGTAGATCAATATTTGGCCCTGGGGGTTGACTACAAACAAATAGCCTACGTTTTGACCAAATCAGCACATTGCCTCACTGCATTCGATCGTCTTTTTAAATTTTCTTTTAAATAACTTTTACTAACATTGCAAGAACTTAAAAAATGATAATAGTAAAATAATACTGTGTGTGTGCGTATTATATTTTAGTGATGCAATTACCCACAATCACTTCTATTCTAGTAGTCCAATATATGCATTTCATCATTCAAGCAATTTTCACTGAACTACATACAAATGCACTGCACAGATATGCAGCATACCTATAAGTAACAGAATCTGAATAGTATGGTACTGTAATAATAAAAACTCGAAAAAACTGGCAATGAGTTACACTCATTGTTTTCACTTTTTTATAGCTACATGAGGAATTATGAATATTGATGGCTGTCCAAAAGAAATGCCGATCCAGATTACCTAAAGTTTTTTGTTCATCTCCTATATTACTACTTGGTCTGTGCTTTTGGTTTTTACTATTACAGTAATATACTATGCAGATATGGAGGTTTTATTATTACAGTACTATACTATGAAGATATTGAGGTTTTACTATTTTACTATTACAGTACTACACTATGTAGTTATAGAGGTTTTATTATTACGGTACCATACTATGTAGTCATGGAGGTTTTATTATTACGGTACTATACTATGTAGTCATGGAGGTTTTATTATTACGGTACCATACTATGTAGTCATGGAGGTTTTACTATTATAGTACTATACTATGTAGTCATGGAGGTTTTTACTATGTATTTTTTGTTCATTGTATATGTAGCATCTCTGTATTTTGGTGTACAGTTTTTTTTGTATATCAGATTTGGATTAGACCTGGAAGAATCAACTGGTTATTGTCCTATGTATTTTATTTCAACACTTCTTGTGGTGTTTGATGTGCTTGTTTTTTGATACATCATTTTTAGTTCATTTTCCCTGAATGTTCCCTTGTTTGTAAGTCTGTTCTGTTGTACAACACTGTAACATAATTTTTTCATAGCCTCTTTTCCTATCACTTTGTAATGTATACATAAAGTAGATACCACGTTTCAGTGCACCTCTTGGCTTATGCTCACTTCTTGTAATGTGGTAGTGGGTCATTTCAAAATGCCCTTAGATTGTTTCAGAGGTTCAAATACATCTTGTGTTGGATAAGTGGTGCGTTGCTTCCAACCAAAGATGACTCAAAGACAGACATTTCCCTGCATGAGGGAAAGCTATAGATGCAATAAAAATTGGTATTTACCTATATGTATACATTACAAAATAATAAAAAAAAATATATTTTCCATAATTATTACCTTGGATAATAAAAAAAATATTACAACACATTTTCTTTATAAAATATTATGACAAATGTTTCTTGTATAACAAGTATTGATGAAAACTAGAGAAAGAAGGTAACGTTTAACTTTACCCAGTTAAAGAAAACGAAAACTTTTACTGATATTATATTACATATATATTGTTTTAGGGATTCCAAAGAAGGATTGTAACCCGAGCACAAACAAAACACCATTGGTGATAAATGTATAAGAACAAAGCTTTAAAAGACCACACAAGATCCTTGCGGATTCTTGAATCATGCAGAATAAAATATTCCAGGCAAACAAGCAGTATGAGACGAAAATCCCAGCCTGGGGGAGTGTACAGTAAAACTCATCAGCTGTCTAAATGCAATCTGGAGCATATGTCTGTACAGTACAGAATTAGAAGAGATTAAACAGGTTAGGGAAACCCTTTGTTACCAGAAAGGATACAAAATATATGCTCATATATATAATATAATATATATATATATACATATATATATATATATATATATATATATATAAAATAGCAAAATATATGATTATTGTTAATTCAAGTAAAATCATTTAACAATTTTGAAATTTCCAATATAATTTTATAAATTGATAAATATTTTCACAGAGCAAGTACTTTGATGAGTCTATTGTGTATTTTTTATGTACAAGGAGAATTGTGTAGTTACACAATAAAAATATGGCAAACAAATGTATGCATCAATTGTTAAAATAGTTATTCATTTAACTTTGTATTGAGGAGAACTGCAAATGTTTGGTTAAAATAGCCAATCTGATAAAATAACTTTGTTGGAGAATTCTGCTTATTTGGTCTAAAGTTGTAAGATTTGATTTAATAAATTAACCCAATATGATTAATGTTATCAATTAAAGAGACTGGTACTTTTCTTGCTGCTTTCATTCCAAATCGAATAATTGACAAAGTATAAAATTGAATTTACTATAAAATACTTTTTAAATGAGTTTAGATAAATTTATTGATATGACGGCCTTGGCAAATGATCTATCAGAAGGGGTTAAGTATTTAAATGTGTACTAATTGCATAAGTGTCTGGAGATTTGGAATGTTGCCCCCAGCAATTCATGGGGCCCCTTGACAATTGCGCAATCAATGTGCCTACAGTCACCAATGGCTGGGTCAAGTCATTTCATAGTCTGTTGGATTAAGGGGTTCTAAAGTATTTGTGCTTAGACAAGGTGTCTATATATAAGGTCCTGGGCTTGCCTTTGATTGTATTTAGTCCCTGACTCAGAACATGTTTGCAAATGATCATAATAATTTATAACCGTTATGCACTTTGGTTATATCGTGTACAGACTGGAAAATGATAACATCATCAGAATTTAGCATTTCGAAATGTGAATGATTCTGTCAGTCTTACTACTAAAAGGTAAATAAGCATCAGCTTTAACACAGGATAAATAGAACTTTTTGTAACTTTTTTAACATTTCTATTCCATAACGTTGCATTTTTCAAACTCATCCCATCAATTAACACGAAATTAGCAAATACATTTTTCATTAATGAAAATAAATTTTTCTATGCATTTTCCGAACTTTACAGATAGATGAGCACATACAATATGTTTTATATGTAGTGTATTATATGTAGTGTATAACTCGCCTGCTTATCCATAATATTATGTACAAATACACTGTTATCAAGATCTTTTTGTTAGTAAGAGCTGCATGCTACAGTTTATGTTCGCGATGCATCCCTGCCGAGAGTTGTAATTGCTAAATAAAAATAAGCAGTTTTATTTTATTCTGTCTGCTACAAGCACGTCTTAGATGGTTAAACTGAGATAATCCAATTAATTTGAAATCCATATATTGCAAATAGTGAATTGCTGTGGGAAGGGTTAACGGATGTCCATTTACAAAGAGCACAGAAATCCTATTAACCAGGAGGCTTTTATTAAAGTGCTTTTTATGAGTTTAAAATGCAAACTGTCTAATTAGATTCACTAAACAACATCTTGAGTCCAGTGTTTTTATTTGTCCTGACTCCTGCCTGTACTGATGGCTGCTGCTTTTCAGTTCATGCAAACACTTAGCAGCCACCCCAGTGGTGGCCCTGAGGCTACAACAGAAGGAGAAGGCCAGAGAGCTGGGACTGCAGATGTCTGGATGTGAGTGACTGAGAGTGGGTTAGCTCCAGGGAAGAAGTCATTCACATTAAGGGAATGGGTGGGAGGTTTCAGAGAAGCCATGGGGAATAGAAGTGTGTGATTAATGAGTGGGAGGTAGCTGATGACAGAATGAAGGAGGGAGGGTTTTAAAGGGACAGAGGGAGGGTGTGAGCTGGGATTTAGAGCGGGGAATATAGAGTGTGGGCGGGGACAACTTTGAAAGTGCAGGGATTCCGAGCTTAGAATGTTAGTGAAGGCAGAAAGCAGGGACACTGGAACAATTTAGTGTGCGTGATCTTTACTCCACATCTATATAGAGGCGACTCTCATTTGAGATAAGGACTGTGCTAAGGCAGTGGGTCTGCCACCAACACAGGAACTTTAGTTGTGAATCTGGATACTTTTTGTTCATTGATCTGGTTACTGGAGAATTTCCCGAGATCACCTTCAAAAACATCGCTGCCCGATACATTCCTCTTTACACCCGATTCAAGCCTACCAGATGTGTATCATCGCGATCCATATAGAGTGATCCAGGAACGGGGATTTGTACAATACATCACTGGCGGGACAGCAAGCTGCGGGTAACTATACCATTCATGGATTGTATGTGCTAATGTCACCGAAACTAACACTTGCTACAAAGGTTGTATGGCTGAGTGCTTTCTCCTGCATGTTATGCAATGGGTTCGGGGTCACCAGGCTCACATACAGGAAATCATACATTGATATTCTGACCAGGATACTGTAGAGGGGTTATTCACTAAACTGTGAATCGAACATTGAGTTGTTCATTTTTCCAAGTGCATGAATTATATAGTCTATAACCTGCTATAACGGATTCAATTGACTGTTTAGTGAATACACTTTTCCTTTATTTTAGATTATTGCCCAAATCTCATTATATTGTCATTGCGACTTAATAATAAAATGATTCTATCTATCTATCTATCTATCTATGTTTATGTCTTGTGTATTTTGTTTATAGTTAGATGAATTGTGCAGCTATATGTACACAATATGAAAATATGGATGTGTGTGTGTGTGTGTGTGTGTGTACACACATGCATGTATGAAAAAAGGAAGACAATCAGTTGACACAATGTATGACTGGACATATATTATATTACACAGCAACATTAATTGTGCAATGACATAGTAGTATAATAATTTATTCTATAATCCTATGTATACTGAATAATGTCCTGCATAGATCCTGGTTGAGAAATGACAGCTGCTAGATGTAATAATGTATATAAATAGAACTGAGTTCCAGGGTTGATCATTGTAATGACATCAGTTCTAACGAGTATTTAAAATCCAAATACACATACTTCCTAAATATGACTCAATGACCACAATGGTTATGAAAATTATCAGCACAGTATGTTTTATTAGCAACTATTAGGTGATGCAGTAAATGGAAAATAACAGTATCATAATAACAGTGTGCTTTAATTTATTGAGATGAAACTGAACTCTGTGTTCCAGATGAAATGTTGTTTTGAAATGTGATCTTTTTTTGGCTGTGTTTACTACTATTAGGGCAGTGTCAGTATGGAGTCCTTGTGTTTATTCTATCTTTGGATAGAGCATCATGAGTGCAGACATCATGGGAACAAGCAATGACCTAGGAATTTAGACTCTGGGAAACAGAGAGGCATTGCCAGCGACATTCAGAATAGCAATTGGCATCCTCTTTGTGCATAATACATCAAAATTGGCTTCTAAAAAAAAAAAACCACGCTTTTTTTTTCACTTTGGACCAAAATTAATTAATATGAGAAACAGCCGATTATCTGACATTAACTGACAGTGATAAGTAGGGAGGCTTTGAACGAATGAAAACGTCTAAGCTAATATAAAGAAACTCATTTTCAATATGATGAATTGCTGCATCATAAATGTGCCCATAATATTTATATTTAAACTGTTTGGATTAATGCTAACGCTATGACTGTAAGGAATGTGGAAGATGGACACATGACACAGAGTAATTAAATCTGTCATATCCTTGCCCAGTGTTTTGGAAATTGAGCTTTAATGGTGTTCATTAAGTAGTGTTTCTAGTTTCATCTAACTATGCTTGAATGAATCAAAACATAATTTTCTTTCATAGAGCAACCTTGACGTGTATGTAGCTCATCTCAATATATGCTATGGTACCCTAACAGGCTTATGTACTGTGTGGCATGCTCAGTTGATATGTGTGCATTGCTGCACAGACAGGCATGCTGAGCAGGTTTTGTTGTGATTGTTGGTTTATTTTTAAATGTGTTGGTCATTGGAAGAACAGTTTTTGTGCAAAACACCAGAACCCAGTATGTTTGAGCAGTGAAGCGAATCATGGTTTACTTACTGATCCCAGGACACATTGGTTTTAGGTTGACTGCTCCTTTAATAATGTATAGCTTTGCATAATGTATGTGAAATACAGTGATGTGGAATGATGCCATTTTGCAACTAAAAAGTCAGTCTTGGCACTTTCCTATGAAATCCTGTCACTGCGTTCCATTTTTTCACTAAAAATGATGGCAGGCGGTTCTATGACCAGAATGCAATGGTGAACTTTAACGGACAAGTGCCAAAGTGTTTTATAAAAGCAGCATGTTTTTTTTTCAAAGCACACAGTTATAAATATTTATGTAGTCATCTCTTATAGCGCAGTTATAAATGATTATTACAAAAGGGCCAGGCTGACTCAAGATCTCAAAATTTTGATGAAAAGCATCCCCATAGGTATTTTCTGAGACTACACTGCATTTTCTCATGGTCCTCATATAGTTACTCCTGGGTGGATATTGTCACTTATTTTTATTGCATTTCTATCAAGTGAAACGGGAAGCGCATTGAGAGTCTGTATTGTGATTGCGCAATTAGCATCCATTCATTAGTGTGGATTCACAAAACCTGTTCATGTGCTAGTTGCCTCTACATCCTGCTGAAAGTGAGGCTCAAGGATTGTCACGAGTGCATGGATCACAGATCATGTAACCAACTATAGAGATAATGCTTTATTAGATACATGATTGTGGTTTGATAACTGGCGAACTGTTTGAGAGTAAATTGGTTGTAGCTAAATTTTACTGTAGAGTTGAGGTCCCCTTAAAGTTGCATTAATGTTTACCTGAGTCGCAATTACGGTAATGAGTAGTACAATATTAGAAAAATAATCGGCAAATAATGTTCCAAAAACAAAATATAGTGGTGGTGTTATGGAATGTTATATGTGTTACATATGTTTTCAATAACACAATCTTTACAGATAAAAAAAAATCCTATTCGACTTGCCCTGTCCATAAGTTCAGTTCATGCCAAACATTCCAGGCTAAATTCCTCAGCAGAAGATCTCCTTGGTAAGTAAATCCCTTAGCGTGTAAGAATTCATGGTGGACCTTCCTTTAGCAGTGGTTCCCAAACCCGTCTTCTCACCCCCTACCAATCCAGAAATTAGGAATTACCCAGGTGTTACCCAGGTGTTTTAGAAAAATAAAATACATTAGACACAACTTGGTAATCCCTAAATTCTTAACTGGTGTTGGTGGGGCGAGGACTGGTTTGGGAACTGCAACGGTATTTGATGTATTATGCTGGAGAGATTAGATCAGTGGTTCTTAAAGCACAATTGTAATAATCCTTCCATCCTAAAATAGTTATTTTTTTTAAAATGAACTATATGTCACTGGTAAAACCCATCCCTACCTTTAATTTATATCAGGATCATTTAGCCATATACATGCACCTTGAGTCAGACAGTGTTTGAAAACCGACAGTTATTCTCTCTGATCTTTCTAGGCATCCAGGCCATTTCATGTCATTGAAGTGTTTGGGTGCAGTGTTGCTGTACCCTTAACCCTGCATTGGAAAACATTGCAGACTGCCTCTAGTGGCTGTATACTATACATGCTTTGCGTGTTCAAAAACCCCACAGGAAAGTATCAAGACATCTCACGTTGGTGAAGGAGGAGCCCGATCCAGCACTGAGGGACATCGGTGGGGGGGCCACAAGGGAGAGGTTGCAGCTTTGTACTCCTAATAATGTGGTGTTCTAGTAATGGAACTCTTAGCTCAGTGACACATTTTTTTATTTTAATATAATATCTATTAAATTAAATCCTGTAAAACACCTTCATTACCATGTATGAAAATGGTCTTGACTGCGCTAGAATTGATAAATGGTGGGGACCTTCTGTATTAGCACGGAGACCCAGAGGTTAAGAACTGATGCACTGTCTAGATAATTTATATACTTATTTAATATCTAATGGTAAGACAAATTCATGTATTTTTAAAAAAAAAATTATCATGTTTCAGTCAACTAAGTTTCCACACTAGTGTGTCTTTTAAGATGAAACCTCTATTGATGGTGTCCAGCTCTGTAATTCTGATTTAAATGCAGTAAAAAGAGTATTTTTTAATTAAGGAAATATAATGAAAGGTATAACCCTCAATAATAGAACCTGTATTTTTGTTCAATTATAGCGTGGAGAACAGGTGCATCCATCAGGAAATTGTGGTTTTGTGGTTCTTTGGCAACAAATAAACCTCTCTTTAGAACGTGAAAAGCACATGCTATAATTGAGGTTTCAGTAATTATTGTTTTTGTTTGTTTGTTTTTGTCTGTTGAATGAAACTGGCTGGTGAAATGTGGCTGTTGCCCTCACATTGTATTCCCAGAGGATGTGGTCTGAGAGCTGTTCATGTGTCTCAAAAATGAGTAAAACCTAGGTCAGGTTTAACAACAGATATTGCTGGAAAAACTATTCTTAGACACATGGCAAATGAAAGTAATCCAATGCAAACATAATCAGAACTAAATCCAATAAGCTGCCGATGGGTTAGTGCTGAATGAATCTCTTTAGATAGACGTAGGTTCAGACAGGTTGGCCAGGATATGTCCTGTGCTAGTTTTGAAGACCATCAAATGTAAAAAAAATAAATAAAAAAAATGCAAATTTTGTAATGTACTGTCTATTGTAATACAAAAATTCATTGATTCAATTCATCTGTATGAGGAGATGCTGATTGGCCAGGGCTGTGTTTGAAGCATGCTGGCTCTGCCCCTGATCTGCCTCTTTGTCAGTCTCAGCCAATCCTATGGGGAAGCATTGTGATTGGATCGGGCTACCACTTCTGATGATGTCAGCAGACAGCTTTTTTTTGCTGAGGCAAACAGCATGTAGATCTACAGCTTGAATACAGTAAGATGTTGCTATATTTATGGAGGCATGAGGGGCCCAGGGGGGCTAGATGGTGGTTTTAACACTATAGGGTCAGGAATACTTGTTTGTGTTCCTGACCCTATATTGATCCTTTAAATTGAGGTGTGCACTGTGCTTGTGTTATTTATGGGTGCTGCAGTTGCTTTGTAGCATTGCGTATGTGGGCTGCTATATTGCATATGTTAGCGAGTAGTTTGTTGTATTGTGTATAACACCTATGAATGTGGGCTGTGTACGGGGGCTGCTTGTGGAATTGTGTGTGTGGATGATATGTCACATAGTGTGTTTGGTGGTGTGTGTATGTTTGGGTCTGCTTATGGTATTGCATGGTATTATCTGATCATTTCCTCTAAATGTTGCAATGCGTAAATTAAAGATTGTTCTGGTAGGCCTGAGCCTGTTTGGCTCTAGCAGGCTTGAGTGGCGTCCATGCATTGCACACGTGCCGTTGGTTGCTGACCCCTGATATAGACATATGTGTGTATACATGTAAAATCAAATATGTATAAGTTACACCCCATTCTTTATTATTATTAAATAGTCAACAAACGAAATTAGTTTGTATATAGAATAGATTGTAAATTAATTTAGCAGGGTCTATTAGCTATATATATCATTATGATGATGATGTATAAGTAGAATAGTGACCATAAGTCCTCTCTGTGGATTCCCATTCCACCCCAGTGATGCAAGCCTTAATTTTTCAGACAGCCAGTGTAAATCATTAACTGTTGGTTTAGCTCCAAATCATGATAGCAAGAGAACACAAAGCACTTGAAAAGAGTTGTGTAAAACTGCCAAGGGCAATAAGAGGTGCCGCCCCTTGCAGACAGTTGGTATTTTAGGGACCAGCAGTCCCTTGCTGTGCTCTGTTAGTTCAGGATCTGAAGCTGTTCAGCAATGCCTGCTGTCAACAGCTGAGAGTCGTTTTTTGTAGTTCACCGGAGAGCAGGGATTTCTCACTTTTATGACCCATCTGCCAGCATGTGCTTAATTAATAAAAAGTGTGAAGATAAATTGAACAACTGCCAAAGTACAAATATTGGTTGGGTCAAATTCAATGTCAAATAGTTATTTTAAGAGGTTATCGTAATATATTATTGCATGTCGGTTTTCACAGATACCTGTTATGCTAAATGTGACATTACAGGGAATAACAGTACCTAAGAAAAGTAAAGAAAATGGACATGCTTCTTTTTCTTGTGGATTTTCACTTGGTACCACCCAGATAGAGGCAACAAATTTTCAAATGCAGTACAGAAATATGGCTGAGAATGATGGCATGTGTAAAGATTAAAATGTCCTTTGAGACTCTGTTTCTTTATCATTATGATGACTATAGTGCCCAGTGGTGGCAGTCTCAACTCTCAAGTACCACTGCCACATCCGACTACTCCTGCCGTGGACCTTTGATGCCCCAATCATTATTTGAGACCAGTTCATCATATTGATATAATATATACCTAACTGACCATGGACTTGCCATCCACTTGTCTACTTTAAATACCCCTTATATACTCTATATCTATAATATTATTTTTACGATAGGTGGGATTCTAGTACAGCATTTTGTTTCTATCATGTGGGTTGAAATTTGGTTTGTAGCTCACCATATCTTGCTGTTAGGCGTGAAGACTCAATTGTATTCTTCATTACTATACCATCCCTGAATTGATAACATCTGTGATAAATGTTCTCTTGTAGGCATACTCCATATAAACCATCACAATTTATGGTGTTCTGGGTTTACTGAGTCACATGCCGATATTATTTTATTTATATAGCGCCATCAGATTCCTTAGCGCTGTACAATGGGATATCACTGTATCTACTTCATGCCAACCGCTATGGTGTATTTCATGTTACAGTGTGTCTTTATTCCTCAGTATCAATAGATTCACACAGTACAATGAATAGTATCTTCCACTTGCATCTGGTAAATCATCTACCTACGCAATAGGCCATCAGTTTAGCTCTATTATTTGAGTAAATTTAGAACAGTGAACAAAGCACATGGTATCTAGACCTCAGCCTTGGAATTTTGATGTCACAATCGCCATCTGGGCTTAACATGTTTATTTTTAGTAAATTATTTTCTCAGTGTAATCCTTTTGAAAAGGTTTATTTTAGGATAATTATCTATGTCATGCAATACATACTTAAGAAAGGTATTTTAGTTGTGTGTTTTTTTTTTTTTCTTTTCGATTTTAAGCTTGTAGGTTTAAATTTGTATGTGTATTCTGTTAATGTTAGACAAACATGCAGGTTCACCCATAAAATTACAATGCAGCTTTGAACGAATGACGAACCTGTTCTCTGCGTGTTATTTAAAGGCTCCTTTTTTGTATAGTCTCTAATCTGTTTGTTTCTAAAATATCACAAGTGTGCACATGCCATTTTAACAGGTGTGACTGTTTGGAAATAAAGAAGGCTGTGGTTCTTTCAGTAGCTCTTCAGAAAGGCTTCCTTGTTGGCAAAATATGGAATAACAGGAAATAAGAGGTCATTATGCATAACACTTAGTAAACCAATTGTAACATGTTTAACTTCTTCATGCCAGGACTGCCATGATAGTATTTTGCCTTATCCGCCACAGGTTAAAAGAGTAGATTTTGTTTTTATTTATTTATACATTTGGGTGTAATTCTTTAAAGTGGGAATTGTGGTAAAATGAAAACTACATATTGAAAATATGGGCCACAATAGTCGATATTTTACGAATACAGCTGACATTATTCTAGAATTCTTCCAGTTTGGATATTTTGGTCAAAGCTTTGAGGGCTATTCAATAAATAGATAATTAACAAAGTAATTGCAAATTTAAGGCCAAAATACCAAAAACTAGATTCCCCCCCCCAGTTTGGATACTTTGACGTAAAATGTTAATATACTTTGTCAGTTTCCAGTAACTGTCAGTTTAGTAAATTACAGTGTTAGCAAATTATGGTTTAACTTAATATTTCATTGTTTAGTAAATTAACCCACAAAGGTTTAAGTGGTAGATCATGATATTTAATTCCATACACCATAGTTTCTCTGGTGGAATGTGTATGATAACCTGGTTTTAACTGTAATAACATAAAACACCCATAGTTTTAGTAACTTTTCCCATCTTCAAAATAGTGAAACAATTTAAAAAGAAAATATGGCATCTTTATTATAAATCATATGTTTGGTTTTTTTCTGCCATCTTGAGGCTTCATATGACATTTAGATATAGCCTAAACCCTAGTAATGTCATTACTGTAAATGGCCAGTTTGTTATCATGTAATTAGATATAATGATACTAAACAGAAATGTTGTGTTTTTTAAATGCAATTCTTTTAAATGCACATATATGCAATTCTTTATGTAGTTGGTACAGCTATTTAGATTTTACCATTCACCAGATTTAGGTCAGGCATAAATCTCAATTTGCATATTATTAGCCTCCCTAACTCCAGTTGTGCATTCTGATAAGTGTTAAATTAGGAGCTGTGAAATCTCGCCTCTAGAATTCACACACCTGCGAATAAGCAGTTAAAATCATGAGATAGACATGAATAGAGACCTGTCCAGAAGTAATATCATCCTTACTATATGTTGCAGAAAATAGACAGCAATAGACAAATTAGAGTATTGTCAGTTCAAACATAGTGAAACATTTTAATTGCTAACTTGCTATTAATTAGTTATGCTTTTACTTATATTTGAAGCTTTATTAAACGAACACGCACATTAGTTCTGTCTCTGTTTCCCGATGACAGTACAAGTACTTGTATGGTACGTGCAAGACATGCACACCTGTGAGCAGACCCTTTTTTTTTTTTAGCTAATGGAAGCTGCACTACTGATTCTATTAACTTGCAAGGCAGGTTCGCTACTGCCTTTTCATATGTAAGAAACTACCACGGGCTGTGAAATATGTGGTCAGCTCTATCTTTAAAAAAAAAAAATAGAGGTACAGGATTGGCTGAGATGTTTCTGCCACTCTTTGAGCTCACTTCAGAAGCTGCACATCTTGGGGATTTGTAGAGCATGGTGGAAATATATATATATATATATATATATATATATATATATATATATATATATATATATATATATATATATATATATATATATATATATATATATAATGTCCAGTGATGCAGATGTAAAATAATAGATGAAAATTGTGTCTTGCAATGCCTTTTATATTAAACTAAAATAATTTTGGCATGACATTTTTTTGGAAGAACCACAATTTCTCAAGTCTAAAGCATTTCTGAGCAAAAACAACATTTAGAACACGAAGTTGAGTTGGGATCCTGGGGTTTAAGCGACATGAGGTAGAGATAACACACAGGTCTGACAGAAAATAGACACCATTCTCACAGAGTGTGTAAATATTTTATTCTTATGTTTTGAGTCTTTTTATTTCTGTTTTTGCAACTTTTAGTGTATGACTATAAAATTTAATAATTGATTACCCTTTTAGTGTTCCTTTAAATCCTTAAAAAGCAGCTGGAGAGCTCCAGCTTTATATATCTTTTGTGCCAAGCTTGCTCTCACCGGGTAAGAGGAAATATCAGGCAATTTTATTATTTTTTTTCATTTTTTTTTTTTTCATTTCTTTTGTTTTATCAAACCCCAATTTTTATTGTCTTGACATATAGGTTCCCTTGTCACTTTCAAAGTACTTGACATGAAAATTAATTGTGAATGCTGTCAAAAATGATTATCATCCTGTCTAGACAGGAGTAGGTCCGGAAAGGTGTGTAAACATGTTTCATCAGCAGAAAAGGATGAAATTCACCAATCTCAGTACACCCAGTTCTCGCTGTGATTTTCATAACCTGACATTTCTCAGATATGTCATATTCATTTTTAACTCCTTAAGGACACATGACATGTGTGACATGCCATGATTCCCTTTTATTCCAGAAGTTTGGTCCTTAAGGGGTTAATGAGGAATGATCAGCAATTGTTCTCTCCATTAGTAACTTACTGGTACCATTATTTCTATCAATGTGACATTTAGCAGAAAATACAGATTTTTTTGCTTATTTGATTAAAATGAAGTCAATTCTATTTACATATACCGAAAGCTGCCTATACATTGTGTTGGATTTTCAGGGACATTCCAACACAGTCAAAAGAAATACATAAACAGAACAGGAACTATATTTTCTTATGTATGACTAAGGACAGGGGGAAATTATTGTATTGATTAATTTGCTGTTGCCCTCACTTGACTTCTCCCATCAGCCATCATTTATGAGAAAATTGTGAATTTATTATATTGTAATGTGTTTAATCGCATACACAGGAGTTTGAAGTTCCAAAGATGAAAGGGTGGTTTTTTAGTTAACAGATAAGGAAAACTGTTCTTATATCTTGGGCCCAACCCCTCTGGGATTGTGTGACTGTTTATTTAGTGGGCTTGTAACATTAGAATATTTGCATGTTTCACAACATGAAGGAAATTATATTCTGCCAATTTATTACTGACTAATATATGTCAATGATGTAGATTTCTCTTCGTACTTTGCATATTTTTTTGTGAATTACAATTTGTGACTTAAACAAGGAAGTGTATAGGATATCGTTTGATTGTGATAATGAAAGGGAATAAACACATTTTATAGCAAATTCGCAAACTTAACGTTTCCACTTAGGCTTGCTGATGCAAAAAAATAAAATAATGTTGTTTATATCCATTTTGCTAATTCATGTATATTTATCTATGAAATTAGGTACGTCATAAACTGGACAAGCTCTGCTTCTATGCACTATATGAACTCTGTGCATTGTTTGCCAGCCAGATTAGCCAAGACATAGTGTGAGGCTGATATGCAGATTATAGATTGTTCACATTAATATACCATGTAGTGCAGAAATGTAAACTTCCTTTGTGTCTCTTAGACGAAACCAAATTCACAAAAAAACAATCAGAGATCAGTGCCTGCGGAATGCCCCACAGCTTCCCCTTCTCCATTTTATCTTTTCTACCATTCACACAAAGACAGCATATTATCCAACGGGAAGCACCTGCCATGCAGTAAAACCATTAAAGCTTCCATTAAAATGCTAAGTCTGAATTGGTTGCATTTAATTCATCTTCCACATGTTTATAAATGACAAAAAGGATGTGTTTGTTTTTCAGTTATGTTTTGTTTTCTTTAGGGGTTATTGTGGATTGGAAACGTCTTTGCTGTGCGTCTTGTTTTGACCAAGAAAATGCAGTCAAATGCCAATAAGTGGCACCTAATGCTATTATTGTCCTCTAAGTAATCTCCTTCATGCATAAGCTTAATGCAAATTAGTCTAATTGGCAAACACAGTGTAGGAATGCACTGCTTCTAGTTTCATCAGACATTCCATTGTGTCTATTAATATGACATATTAAATACTTTACTTCTTATGCAATGCCAATATAATTATTTGTCTGCATCAGAGTACTAATTGTCTTTCCACTGTACCAAGCATGCTATCAATGCAAATGGGATACTTAAAATTCCACTGTTTATTACATCGTAACCTTCTGGTTTGTACTCAGTGTACTCATGGCTAGACTCATAATCACCAGACAAAGACGGTGTCATAAGTTGGTTTCTGTGTGCCTCTTGTGTTGTATAAGTGCTTCATTCATACACTGAAAGTACCGATGCTAATTCTTTGTTTAGAGTTTTTAATATTTTTTTGGTTGTTTCTTTAATGGCTGTTGATCGATGGTCAAGTGGTATATGGTGGTATAACATTACTGTATCCTACAAATGGGTACAGATGTGGAAATACGAGTTTTAAACTCAACACCATGGTGTGTTATTTCTTTATTACAACAACCAGTCTGTTTACAGTTCTACAGTTTTTTCCCCCGGAAAGACGCATTAGAATGTAATGAATTTACACTGTATCCCTAGGTGGGTAACCACTTGTTTATTCTAACACTACCAACAATATTTACTAATAATGCATTATTGCAAATTTCCTGACTTCTAGACCTCTCCTAAACCATGCTCTGAATGCCCCAAAATGCCTGCAGCCCACTGCAAAATAGCTACTTCACAAATACAAAAAGGGCTAAATCGGAGGGATAATTATTCATGACATCACACCACCACCTCATGATGTCACCTGTTCCAGCTAATGCTAACTGAAACTGTAATGCATGAATTAGTATCTTTATCTCACCTCATTATCAAGTAGTTAAAGGTACCCAAAAATATTTATTATAAAGATGTTTCATTCATCCTTTATTACACATCACATTCACTCCCTGCTTTAAATATAAGAGAGAAACAGGCGAGCAACTCAGTAGTTTGCCATTTGTGGATTCATTTTGTTTGGCTTTTGAAGGATGTACTTGTCAATGCCACCTCCTCCTCTCCCTCTAATCAGCCCAAGTCTATAATCTTGATAAGAATGTCCTAGTTCTTATTTATGTTACATACTTGGCTCTCTATGTGTGTGTCTGGTAAAAGAAAAACAGTTGGGCCTATTGTATCTGTGTACGCAGACTCTAAGCTGTGACACGTGCATTATTTCTCTTCTTGGTTTTGCTACAGTGACGGCAGCCTTGCTTACAGCTGAGCAGATGCTTGAAGCAGATTTTTACATTCACTTTGTGTGACCAGGAAATCTTCTCCTATTTTAATTCAAATATGCTTTTGGAGCAAATGAATAGAGCCATTAGTTAGGCCTGAAGTCCTAACAACCCCCAATCTTTGTTTGTGTGTGATTGACTTTGCTTTCACTTATTGTGTACTCACTGAGCCTCCCATGGAGACAATCTGAATAGCTCCTTTGTTGAGATGCACTGCTGGGAGCTATATATGCTTTTTATTTTGTCCCTAGGAATCTAGCTGCTTCTAATGGTCCTACCCCTGAGCTCTCTTGGAGACAATCTTCACAGAGAGATTTGCTCTGTAGATGGAAAGAAGCTGTGCTACTGTGGGCTAGCACATTACTTGTTGTTCCTATATCTGATGTTTGCACAGACGGGTGGCTCTTATTGTCCTTACGTCTTATCTGGGCTTCCTTTAGATAGTGTGAAAAAAGGCAAAACATCTGCTTACTTAGAATTGCAAAATAGTTAGGCTTCTCCTAGGGTAGCCCACACAAAAAAAGTGTGTATTTTTAGTTTTGCTCCTAACTGTTTGTCTTTATACATTTCCACCCAACAAAATGTAGGCAATATACAACTGTAATTATTTATATAGTGCCAGCATATTCCACAGCGGTGTACAATAGGTAAACAAGACAAACATTTAATTGTAACAAAACTTGATTGACATACTGAAACAGTAGATGAAGATAGCCCTGTCCCAATGACCCTACAATACATTAATGTAGTAGAGCACAACTTACTAAACAGCAGAAATTTCATAGAGTCGAGTTTTCTGGTTTTTGTGTGTTTTTTTTTTGTTTGTTCAGTTTTTGGGATTTCAAATCATTACATAATATTAGTTGTTTTATTTGCTTAAGTACAGTAAAACTAAAGTACATATACTGTACATATATATTGTTCATTTACAAAGAAAGAAAAATGATAACATGTTCATGAAATCGCAAAAACTTTAAAAAAAAAACAATTGTGATAGTATTCTGATGTGAAGCTGAGGCTTCATATTAAACATATGTAAGTTAATTCGAAGTAGGTTGTTCAACCCAAATACAGAGGTTTAGGGCTCAGCACCCTGTCTTGTCTGAGTCTTGTTCTCCCATAAAAGATTATCAACTAAATGTTATTGTTTATTGTATTGTTTGTGTTTGTTAAGACTTGAAATTGAGAGAATTTCCATCTAGATTATAAATTGTTGGTGACTTTTTAACATATTCTCGGTAATATGAGGTTTAAAAATTGTATGATTGAGTTTTGAAAGCCATTGTAACAAAGGGAATACATCTAAATTTTCCACTTATCTTTTTCCATTTTGGAACAGGAGAGAATGCCACAGACACCAACTCTTGTAGCCATGTTTGACAGCAGCAGTTTTAACCGGAACTTGTATCAAACTAAAGAAGAAGAGAGCTGTTCTGGGCTGTATTACCAAGATAACAACCTGCTCTCTGGATCTCTGGAAGCACTCATCCAACACCTTGTGCCCAGCGTTGATTACTATCCGGATGTAAGTTTTAGGAAGCTGAAAATAAATCTGTTGTCAAGCATATGATTTCACACAATAAATGCTTACAAAGGAAAGATTTTTTTCAGAACAGGAAACATACAGATAGCTTCTCAATGTTACACTTACATTGTAGGTAAGGTTGGAAGACAGATAACAATATGTATGCAATTATGTGCTATTGTTCCATGAACGGGCAGCATACTTTATTAACGAAAATTACATATATATATATATATATATATATATATATAATCTAAAAAAAGCACTGTACCTTGCACTCAGACTCCAATTCCTAGACCGTGTGCAATCCCAGGGCTCATATTCACATATTTGCTGTTGATGGAGACCATTTTCAAACAGTTTTAGAAACATAGAATGTGATGGCAGATAAGAGCCATTCAGCCCATCTAGTCTGCCCAATTTTCTAAATACTTTTAAGTCCCTGGCATTATCTTATAGTTAGGATAGCCTTATGCCTATCCCAGGCATGCTTAAACTCCTTTTCTGTGTTAATCTCTACGACTTCAACTGGAAGGCTATTCCATGCCTCCACTATCCTCTCAGTATTTGCATTTATATATAGCTTAATGAAGCTTGAGTGACCTGAAACTTATTTATATTCTAAATTTTCCATAATTCGTTGGAAATTAGATTTAAACAACATACTTTGTACAGCATTCACCATAATTTGTGTAGCCAACGAGGTCCTCACAAACATCTTAGGTTGGTCTCATGCCGCTTTGGTCCATTCCCATTAAAAAAAAATAATCTAATTTTACACTTAATGATAGTTTATTTCCTTTATATTTTTGTTGTTGCAAAAAAAGTAAATCACATGGCTGCTGCTCAGTCTATAAAACTTGCAGTCATAGTCAAGAGGTTTGATTGCTTTATGTCACACATTAGAACTTAAAGCAATGTTGTCAGAGCGACTTTGGTCTTCGTTTGATTGTTGACAAACATGGGGGTTCCAAAAAGTCAGAAACAGCTGATCTCTTGGGATTTCCATTCACTCTATTCTGTAGCGTTTTCATGAAAGCACACAAAAAACTTCGACTGGATGGTTGTTCTGTGGATAAAACTCCTTGTTAAATGAGAGAGGGGATCAGTGATTGTAAATCAGAGTTTCAGCAATTTCACCTTACTCATTAGATTTTGTATCTTAATATGACAAAGGTGTTCAATATTGACAGAGTGCCATATTTATCATGTAGTATTGAGGGTAATGGATTACACGTGGTTACTAAATTGAAGAGAATAACATATTAATAAGTTCACTTGTGTGTGATAAATGCAATATAATTATTTTTTCCTTAACTGACCCATTTTGGCTTTGATAGATATATAATATATATTGTTTCATGGAGATAAACTCTGTAAAAATGCAGGAAGCACCTCCAGTGGGTCTCTGGTAGGCAGCCACTAAAGCCAGTCTTCACCCTGCAATGTAAACATTACTGTATCTCTAAAACTGCAATGTTTTCAGCCTCTGGGTTTAAAGGGTTCATGACAGTGCACCCAAACCACTTCAATGATGTAAAGTTGTCTGGGTGCATAGAATTAGCCTTTGTGGAGAATAAAATATATAGGTTTATGTAAGAGAATATTGTTTCTTTAATTTAAAATTGCATATTGTTTTCATATATTCACACTCAAAAATATATGTTTTATCCTCAGAGAACATACATCTTCACTTTTTTGCTCAGCTCTCGTCTATTCATTCACCCCTTTGAATTAATGGCTAAAGTCTGCCATGTGTGTTTGGAGCAGCAGAGACAAAACGAGCCTGGAACTGACAAGGTAATTAAGCTCACTAAATTGTATAGTAGTTTCAGAAACACATTATGTCTTCAGCAGCATTGTACCTTTCGTTAAACTGGTAGTAAAGAAAGCATGAGGTAGTATAGATCTCATCTAGCAAACTAAATGAAAGTGTTATGAAATAGACACCCCCAGTGGCTGCATCCGATACTGCAGGTGTAAAATAATTTACTGTAATTCAGGGGATTTTTTCCATACAAGTCTTTCACTGGGAAGGATGTTAGTTCCTTTAAAACTTAATGCATTTTTAGAACTGAGTAACATAAGTAAAAATGTAGCAGTTAGTGTGCTTGTTGAGATTTGAAAGTCCTATGTTATAATACAATCATAGGTGACTTATTGTTATCCCCATTGTTTAAGGAAGTGGTTGACACTGTATACACACTACATACAGCATATTGATGCTTAGTAGTTTATCATGAAAGCGTGTTATTATTTTTACTACATTTGCGGTCTGTTATGTTTAAATTATATATTTTTCAAAACATGTTTTTTTTGTTTTTTTTTTTAAACAGAGCCAATTGCGGAAAATTGCCCCTAAAATTCTTCAGCTCTTGGCGGAATGGACAGAGACTTTCCCATATGACTTTCGGGATGAGCGAATGATGAGAAATCTAAAGGACACCGCTCACAGGATAACCAATGGTGATGAGGTTGGTCAACTTTATTAACATTGTCATGTCTCATGATGTCCATGTACAACAAGGACAGCTCAGTGGACAAAACGTCTGTTGGAACCAAGTTCACTTGTGTGTTTTTTACTTAAAGGACCACTATAGGCACCCACACCACTTCAGCTCAATGAAGTGGTCTGGGTGCCAGGTCCCCCTAGTTTTAACCCTGCAGCTGTAAACATAGCAGTTTCAGACAAACTGCTGTTTTTACGTTGAGGGTTAATCCAGGCCGCTTCCTGAGATGACGCTGGATGTCCATAGGAAGGCATTGAGTAATGTTTTCCTATGGGCGGTTTGTATGCGCGCGGTTCTTGCCGCGCATGCGCATTCTGAGCTGACGTTGGCAAGGGAGGAGAGGTCACCTGGATTAAGGTGAGTGACTAAAGGGCTTTTAACCCCTTCAGCCCAGCGGGAGGCGGGGACCTAATAACCCTATAGTGCCAGGAAAACAGGTTTGTTTTCCTGTCACTATAGTGCTCCTTTAATTATTTTTGTGTGCAGTGCTGCATCTTACAAATCACTGCAATTGCTACAAGTTCTGAGCACGAGTAATCATATGAATGCTAAGGAATTTAAATAGATTCACATCAAATGCCTTTTTGTATCTTTACACAGAATGTTTTAAAAAAATAAAAACCAAATTGCTAATCGCTAACCTTGTTAGCTAGACACAGAAATACCCTATAATCACATGGAACATTTCCACTTTAATTATATGACTAAACAGAGCAACATTGCTTGTGCTCATACTTGTGACTTTGAGAAAGTAAAAGCCATACTGTAACTGTATATCACTTGACAGACCAGAATGCATTTTATAATGTCACATTCAACAGCTAGCTTCTAAGAGTTCACAAAGAACTCCATAACCTCATATTGTGAGACTGCCCTGAACAATCACATGGACATGACTACTCCATCCCATCCACTCATTGTGTGATAGGAAAACAGAACCTTGAGTTTCCTCTTTTCATCTGACCTGGACAGCAGTAAAAAGTTCCATAAAGCTTTGCCTTGTTCTAGAAGTCCTGAGAAACTCATCTAAGGTATGAGTAATATTCTCCTTGCTCACTGGGCTTTATTTTCTAATATCTTATTGTTTTGTAAACACGAGCAATTTATTTAACACCCTCTCATTTTCGGACTTGTAATAAACTGAAACACAATCCCATCTGTCGTTCAGCATGACCTCTTTCTCTGTTTGCTGCTGATGGACAGATCTGGCGTAAGTTGCTGTTGAATACTAGTATTTAAGGTTCTTCAGTTAGCATAGTCTGATCCCATGGGTCTTCCCCAATTTCCCAAATCCCCCCTCTCACTACATGTCTCCTTGCATTCCCCCCCCCCACACACACACACCTTCTAGTACAGTTTATCTTTACTAAAAGAATGTACGTACGTTTGCATGCTTTATTGTACTACACCTAAACATACAAATGTAATATATTGAATTCCTTGTTATGGCTGGCAATTTACCTTTCCTTTGACGTAATGCTGTATCAGTACTTTTGTGTTTTTATAACTACTTAACAATGTTTTTCTTGAATAAAATTTAAACATTGAAAAAAAACGTTTGCTCTGGCAAATTCCTCTATACTACAGTAAATGTCTACATTAGAATCTCTAGATTTTATCAAGAAAAAACTAGGCAGTAAGCGCACTGTGAGCTTTTGAATAGTTCGTAGCACTCAGATCTCAAGTCGTGGGCATTGTATTTCAAAGACTGCAGAATAACTTTTCGGTGATTCATGTTGGCTGCAGCTGTAAGGATGTTTTATTAAGATCAGCTAGACAGATTAGCTTCAGAAAGTGGCATTCGTGCTGGTGAGGTTTAAGAAATGGAGACTTGTCACAGTAAGTAACAGTAACTGTGAGATAGACTTGAATGGACAGCTGCCAAAGGTCCCCTACATTGAAGGTGGGCTTGGGAAAGTGAAAATGCTTTGCACGTAGCAAGCAAACTAAAAAATAGCAGGAGACCACAAATTCTACCGCAAACAAAGAAAGAAAGAAATTTATATTACAGTTGATCCACTGCTATATATATATATATATATATATATATATATATATATATATATATATATATATATATGCTCCAACCTCTGGCACTCACCATCAATGAAAAAAATAAATAGTACATGGGTGCTTCCAGCGCAAAAATAGAAAGAATAATAAACGGAGCACTACTGAGGAAATTTTTCAATCGTGTATTAAGGATTATTCTCTTAATACACGATTGAAAAATTTCCTCAGGAGTGCTCCGTTTATTATTCTTTATTTATATATATATATATATATATATATCTCTCTCTCTCCTGGGGCTGAAAATATTTTGCATGTATTGATTACATCTTGATGTTCCATTATGTCTATTGCTGTTGTTTTTATGGAATTTGTTTTAGTTTTTTAATATAAAATCGGTTATATATGTTTTAAATACAGATGTACCGGAAAAATGTGCAACAAATAATCCAGAATCTTATTCGCAAATTGGCAGCACTGAGTCAGTATGAGGAACTCATTGCAAAAATCAATGCTCAGTCCACTGATCGCATGACCGTCCTGAAGACCAAGCCACAGTCCATACAAAGGGACATCATTACGATATGCAGTGATCCCTACACATTAGCCCAGCAGCTCACCCACATAGAGCTGGTATGTGCTTCTTGATTTAAAATGATAGTTGGTGGGAGGTGTGGGCAATCATTCCAGTATTGACACCTTATCAATACATTTGTTTTCAGGAGAGACTAAGTTACATTGGACCAGAAGAGTTTGTTCAAGCTTTTGTTCAAAAGGATCCATTGGACAATGATCAGGTAATACAGAGCTTTTTTTACGGAGTGGATTGTAATCTTTTTCGGACAGGGCCCTACAGTGTTAGGAATACATCTTTATAGTCCTAACACTAAAGTGATCTTTTAACTGGTAATCAACTTATTTTATCAAACTACTTCCCCAAAAAATTTTTTGAAGAAAAATGAAAAGCACTGAAAGGCTCCTTGCACTATAATCACTAAATTATTCATAGTAGTTATGGTATGTTGAGTTTCCCTTAACGCCCATTCTTAAAATGTGGGCTTTCCACCATTAAGAGTATTAAGGAAACCAAATAATGTTTTTAAAAATGTAAAAGGTGCAGTTGCACGATTAATATTCTATAATCCATTGGTTGTATAGTGATGTTTGAAAATGCCTAAATTAAAACATATCATTGCTTTATGGTTAAATCCATTTTTTATGATACAGAATCAGACTATTCAAAAATGTATATCGCAAATGGTATAAAAGGAAAGATTTTCCAAATTATTGACAGTATTTTGTTTCTTTTGTTAGAGTTGTTATGGTGACAGAAAGAAGACGCGAAACTTGGAAGCCTACGTGGAATGGTTCAACCGTCTTAGTTACTTGGTAGCCACAGAAATCTGCATGGTGAGGCTCTTACCTAGAGTACTGATATCAAGGCATATTTCAGTGCTAGGGCATATTTCACACCTCTTTATTTTGTTTATATTTTATGCAGCCTGTGAAGAAGAAACACAGAGCTCGGATGATAGAGTTCTTCATTGACGTAGCACGAGAATGCTTCAATATTGGAAATTTTAACTCTCTAATGGCGATTATCTGTAAGTGTCCACCACGGTCATCAGTCATATATATAACATATTGATTTTATATATATATCACAAAATAACACATCATTTTGTATGCATTTCCTTTGCATTGTATGAATAAATGTAAAATGTGTAGAATGAACTTAATATGCTACAGCCACTTCCATCACTCCTGTTATTGTTTTAAGCCCAGCAATGTCTGCATGGCGGCCATTTTTCTAGTCTTGGTTAGCCATATATTTAATTTGGTTTTGCAGAGGATTATTAATGTGCAACTGCACATTAATGGAGGTTGTACTTCAAGTAATAGTACATCTTCATTACATAATTATTGAGTTAAAAGAAACGTCCCAGGATTTTTAATGTTATGTTAACTTATTTAGCAAATATGTACTTGAGAGGTGTGAAAAAATAAATAAAATACACACTGTTGTATTTAGCGCTGAAACTCGGTCATTAAAAATTGCTTTTCCATCTGTCAGTCAGCAAAGACACAATGCAGAGATAAGATTAAACAGAAACAATGAGTAAAGAAAAATTATGCAAAGTACTAAACAAGAGGCAGTCAGCATGTAAACCAGTGGAGGAAACTGGCACATTTCACGTACCTACATTGGTTTAAATATATAGGCTAACTGACACTTGGATAAATAATTCTAACTCTGTGGATCTGTGCTATAGTTCACTTATATGATGTTACGTATTAATAAGTGGAACAAATAAGACAAGAGTATTATATTTCCAAGATCTTAGTAAATCCACTGTTCATTCATCCAGCCTATTTTGCAGACAGCCTGCTTTATTTGACACGGTACATTTTAAAGAGCATGACTGAACACCGACAACCTTGACATCAGCTATAAGAAATATGACCATAGCTCCCATGAAGTCAACACATGCCTTAATTAATACTATTTAATACCTGACTATGTAAGATAATCAGAATTCTAGCCCATGTACGGCTGTAAGGACTAGTCTGTCTCCAGCTCTGTAAAATCTCGCCAGTGCACAGGTTTGATAGTATTCTAGCAGATATATTGTATTTGCCATGGAAAGGTCAACAATAGTTGGCTCAATAGTCATGTTGGCAGCACTGCTCTGTTTATCCCAGTTCAAAATGAATTGCCACTTGAAAAGGCTATATTTAGTATCAAAGCAAACTGCTCGGAACGTGACACATAGTAGCAGGCTGTTAGCAAAAATCATGTTAATGTCACACATCACTATGTTTGCAGAATATAAATGGGAGCTTTTCTGCAACAACAAGTGTGTGGTTGCAGTTGTTTAGCTGATACATGTACAGAGTAAATCCACTTGACGTTGTTTGGCTGGCAAAATAGGTAAAAGAAAAGTGTCAGTTTACAGGAAAGATGGGAAGAGAATAAAATACATATACACAGCACAGAAACGATCTATTTATAATATCTGAATTAAATATGAAAACTAAATATAATTTATGCCTAACAAGTGTATAGTTGTCTATTTATACGGGGTTCAACTCAGTCGTGTATTTATAATGTATTTTGTGTTTGTTTAAAGCTGGCATGAATATGAGCCCTGTATCCCGTCTAAAGAAAACGTGGGCTAAAGTCAAGACAGCCAAGTTTGATATTCTTGAGGTACGTGAAGCTTTATTTAAAATACAACAGTCTGCATAAATATTACAACATATTCAGATGTGTAGGTAGACACACTGTAAAAGTGCTCACTGCTCACTTTTAGCTGACTTGTATACTTGTATACAATACAATACAATACTGTAGGCAGAATGGCTGGCATAGATGACAGCATATGACAACTGTAACTGATCGAAACTAATTTGAATCATTAATATTAATATTTCAAGTTTAAAATGTGTGTTTGGGGAGTTTGGGCTGTTTTGCCCTGAAACGATGCAGAATGTGCCCTCTGGACTGAAAGTTGCCACTGTATATCAAGGCCAATAATGTAGTTTCTTGCATAGCGATTTTCCCTTTTAAATTCTGCTGCGGGTTAAAATGTAAGTGAAAAATTGGATACTGTGTGCCCTAAGAACAGATTTCCACACAACATGCCTTTAATGTTGGCACTTCTTCTGTTATTGATCAGATTATTATCTAAAGGTGATGGTTGTTTTTCTATTCTCCCAACAGCATCAGATGGATCCTTCCAGCAATTTTTACAACTATAGAACAGCTCTGAGAGGGGCAGCCCAGAGGTCACTAACGGCTCACAGCAACAGAGAAAAGGTATGGTTTCTAATCAGCTTAGCAAACAGACAGTGATAAAATGTGCAGGTGGCCCCTTGCTACACTCTTGTTTGTTTGGGTTTTTTTTCTTTTGCTTTCAGCATATGGCAACCTGATTTTTTTTTTTTTTTTTCCATGTGGGAAATGAGGTACAAAAAGGTGATTGCAGAAGTTAACATATGTTACTTTGTTATCAGCAGGTTACACAGCATTATCAAACGGTATATTTGCCTTATTTCCCTGCAACCAATGTGTGTGGAACTGTGTAATATAGTAATTTTTTCACAGACATCATGGATGCAGGAAAATTGATCATCAGCAATTTCATACAAACGCTAACTGGAAGAATGTGAATTTGTGTTTGTCTGTATGATTACATATCTTTGTCTACATCAGGGATGCCCAAAAGGTATATGTTTTAAAACATAGCTTCAATTACAGCTTCAATGATGCTTTGACATTCTAGAGAAATGTAAAGCATTAGGGGAGTTGTAGTTCTACAACATTTGGTGATCTACCTTCTGGGCACCCTGACCTACATGATTATTTAATTTTAGATTTAGATTCCGGAGTTCACATGTGTTTTTTAACACCCTGGCAGAATAGTTATATGTGTGATAGAAATATTTAGAGCTGTTCTAACAAATGGGCTACATTTGTAAGCAGATGCAATCTGTAGGATACTTTGCAAGGTTTGTGGCTTGTGACTGTCACAAGCTACACTATTATCAGCATGGAGCATCATCCATACAGTTAAAGCTAAGAATGTTTTTTATTTTTTTTAATTTTTTTTTTCATCTACAGTTTAATCCACGTGTTATTCAAATTTTGTAATGAACCATGTTCGTTACGCTACATTGATTTTACAGCATATGACTTGGAATTTCAAATAGAGAAAAGTGTAATTAGAACCTTCGGTTTTGGTATATTTATCATCAACATTATGCAAACATTTAATTATTTGCAGTTCTGGCTTTTGTAATGTGTTTACTTACGGTAAAATATTGAAATTGGCTGTTTCTTTTAACACAGACGCTCTCTGACAATTTGTTCATATTTGCATTATTTATTTATTTATCAAATATTTTACCAGGAAAGATACATTGAGATTTCTCTCGTTTTCAAGTATGTCCTGGGTCCACAAATCATTGCATTGTTACATTAGGGTACAATAAAATACAAAAAACAATATTAATACACAATAAATACAAAATTTAACCTAGAACAGGTAGGAAATATATAAACAACCATGACAGGTGCATTCTGTTTTGAGGTATGTAGAGAGAGATCTCTTAAAGGACTTTAGGCTTAGGGAAGACTTTAAATTGTGCGGGAGGTCGTTCCACAATTGCGGCGCTCTGCAGGAGAAGGAGGATCGGGCTGCTTTCATTTTGTATTGAGGTAAAGTGTTGGTACTGGATCGGAGGTTATAGAAAGTGGGAACAGCTGAGGAAAGCATTTTGTTCAGGTAGGGTGGGACTTTCCCAGAAAAGCTCTTAAACACAAGGCTGGAAAGATGAAGGGTACGTCTGGATTCCAGCAACAGCCAGTTTAGTTCTTTTAGCATGTCACAATGGTGAGTCCTGTAATTACATTGTAGCACAAATCGGCAGAACGAGTTATACAATGTGTTGAGTTTATTAATGTGGGATTGCGATGCAGATGCATTTACTACATCCCCATAATCAATGATTGGCATCAGCATTTGCTGTACAATCTTTTCCTTCACTGTAGGGCATAGGCAGGATTTGTTTCTGTACAGGGCACCTAGGTTTGGATAAAGTTTAGATGCAAGCATTTCTATGTGCAGGCCAAAAGATAGATTGGGGTCTAATATCATACCCAAGTATTTGAAAGAGTGGACTGCGGTCAATGTGCCATTTGAATTTGTTTTGATGGATAGGTGGGTTTGTTTTTTGCGATCCATTTTTCTACGATCCATTTTTCTACCTCTGTAAACTGGTCTTGGAGCACAGCCTCAAGCTGCGGTAGATTGGATTTGCTCGCATAGATAACCGTGTCATCTGCGTACATGTGGACATTTGAGGATTTGCAGACATTAGGCAGATCATTTATAAATAATGTAAATAGTAGGGGGCCGAGAATGGAACCTTGGGGAAGACCACATGTGACTGGGAGAGGGAGGGATATGGACACATATTGCGAGTGATCCGATACATACGATCGAAACCAGGTTAGCGAATGATCACCAATACCTGAGTTTTTGAGTTTGTGCAGTAGAATGTCGTGGTCTACTGTGTCAAAGGCCTTAGCAAAATCAAGGAAAATAGCCCCAGTTAGGTCTCCTTGTTCCATGCCAGTTTGGATGTCATTGCAAACTTTTAAGAGGGCAGCTGTAGTGGAGTGATTCTGGCGAAAGCCCGATTGATCAGGGGTCAGATAGTTTGCATGAATTCCTGTAATCCATTTGCAAGAGCATGGTTTAGAGAGGATTTGATATTTGTGTTTAAAGGAAAACTCCAGGCACCTAGACCACTTTACTCAATGTCAAAATATCTTACCTTAATAAGCAGGATAGAAATTTAAAAAAATAAAAGAAGCTCCTATGTTTATTAAAAGAACCTGGGGCTCACTTGTGGTCATGACAGCTGTAGACTGTAGTCGTAGCTTCTGAGGTAAAACCTGCAGTGCAGGTCCTTCTCCTGAGGTAAATCCTGCAGTGTAGGCCCTTCTCCTGAGATAAACCCTACAGTACAGGCCCTTCTCCCGAGATAAACTCTGCAGTGCAGGCCCTTGGTCAATGAGCAGTTAGAAAACTGGTAGATTAGATACATAGGGTTAGGGGGGATGCGAAAGAGCACTCATGACATCATAAATGCTACAGTGGGCTGTAGTGGCTATGGTACTTGGAGTGCTATTTTAAACTTTTCTTTTTGGGGGATTTATTCAATAAATTGTGAATTGTGGAACATTGACATGGGATATGCAATTGACATGGAACACTGACATGCACATTCTGGTTGCACCACGAGCAGACGTGACTTAAGCAGCTAAGAACTGTGTTCCAATGTCAGTTCTGTGCATAAAATTAATCTGTCATCAACTCCTGCAAGGGGAAGCTAGCTTTCCCTTCACTCCCTGTAGGCACTCCCTCCGATCTAAATCCTTCCTCCTCTCCACTCCCTCCCATCACTGGCCCAGAGTGCACACATGCGCTGTCAGCCAGCAAATTGGTCCAATCACAAGCTTCTTTATGAGAATCCTGTAATTGGACCATGCGAGACCCCTGTGATGTCAGAGGGGACAAATAAGCCAGCTCCGGTAGCTTTGAATGGCACTGGTCTCCAGATAAGTAAACTTTAAAAAGCTTGATTTTTACTTTAATGTTTGATTGTTCAATTACACAATTTCCAGTTTAGTGAATGAACTCCTTTATCTTCTGCTGATTGTGGGGTTTATTTTCTAAAGACATACCGGTAATTAAAGTTAATTGAAAACTTTATAACTGAGGCCATAATATCTGATTTGGAAACATACTTGCTGCCAATTCACAGCTTAGCTTTTAGTCTAAACATTGTAATTCTGGTGTTACTACACTACGTATCAATATTTAGCAAGTAAGCCCCTGTGTGTTTTGCAGATTTTCTCTTACCTGAAACATAAAATGTTTCCTGTCCAACCCAGCAACACTTAAATTATCATTTCCATTTCTTGCTGACAAACACCATTTCCACAGCAATAAATCTGTGTTGTTTTTAACAAGCTGTTACATTACCTGTTTTTGAATTAACTAGCAAGTCAAGCTTACTGTTCGTTCTTAAGTGCAGCTCCTTTTAATTTATAAATAAAACATTCTCTTTTGAAGTCAGTGAAGTTTATGGCAAAGTAAAAAAAAAAAAAAAAAGATATACTGTTGCATCAATTTTTGTGTTCTGGAAAGCAGCCAGGATGGCTTGTTGCCCTGAATGCATTTAGCAGATTTGATCAATATTTTATCACATTCATAGAATGCTGCTTCTAGCTGCCATATTTGATGCACCATATGCCAAGAGTACATGAACGTGTCTACTTGTGCTATAAGCATTATATCATAAATACTCTCTCTATTTAATATCTTCACAGGCCATGTAATACACATACTATATAATGAACAGATTCACACAAGCACTTATTACACTCAAAGTTGTGGGCAATTTATATTGTGACTGAAACAGAGGCTATGCTTCTTATTATTACTTTTTCGATAAGTAATTATTCCTCTGCAATTTAACTGTGGGGTATAATAAATACATTCGGTAAGCAATACAAAAGATGCGTTAAGTTTGAGGAACTGGATTAAAAGTGGTATGATTGCTGTGTTTATAACTATTTATTTAAAAACATATATGGACACATTTAGGAAACAGATTCATAGCAGGAAAGGGCCTCACTTGTCTTGTTTTCATTCATTGGGTAATGATAATTCAGAATTTTGCCTTTTTTAATTTTGTATTCATGTTCTGAACCATTTAACCTGCACTGTTATTTTGTCTGTAAATCTCCATAGTACTACACTTGTTAAGGAATTACATGCTAGATAATTATTGTAGTTTTTTTATTTTATGCATGTTGTTTGGTGTGACAATAACTCATTGTTTTGTTTGTTTTTTCTTTCTGTAGATTGTCATCCCTTTCTGCAGTCTTTTAATCAAAGATATCTATTTCTTGAATGAGGGCTGTACCAATCGTCTTCCAAATGGTCATGTCAATTTTGAGGTGAGTACTGACAATTTGTATTGTAAAATATATCCCAATTAAATGTGACCTACATCTCTCCAATAGTTATGGCCTACAACTCTCAATACCCCAAGTCATCTTTTGTATCACTGAATTTAATGGTGTGGGACACAAACTGCTAAATACAATTATTTAGATTTTTTTTTTTTTAATTAGAGTTTCCAAACCTACAGCCACTAATGATCCAATGTATTCTGCAGCTCTGTACACTAGCTGTACTAGCAAACACGTAGTTGCAACAAGACGAGTTTGATATAGAGCAACAGATGGTGCTGAGGGCTCTGCTCAAACTGGCTTATAGTCTAAGGGATTAGTGTTGCATTGTAGTTATAAAACATGCAATGAAAAACATTGCTACACATCTCTAACAGTGGGCTTAAAACAATAAAGTGAATTTATGTGTATTTAAGTTCTTTACTGAATAACATCATGCAGAGAAGCTGACACTTTATGGGTGTGTGTACAAACTATTAGAGTGTACTTATAAATTAGCTCCCATCAATAACAGTAAGAATCGACTATCTGGAGAGAAAATAAGAGTGCCTAGTGTTCAGAAGTGTATTCTATTCCAAATTTATATAATTTTACAGCATTTTTGTTGCAATGTTCTGTAAAAAACCTTTTCATTCTTTTGAAATTTGGTCCCACAGAACACTAATGAAATTAACACTGATTTGGAATCTCTCCAGTTTTTCAATGTTTGATCATTTTTCGCAGTGTGTTAAAACTTTAAGGATGAGATAAACGTAATGTTAACATTAAGAAATTCCAAATACTCATATTATTATTATTATTATTATTATTAAAGTGCCAACAAATTCTGCAGCACTGACAGTAGGTGGACTATCAGACAAGTATTTGCAACAAGACAAGTATTTACTAATGTCATTGTCATTTCTTGAAATTATTATATATTTCTATTTTGATGTATCAATGCAATGTTTTGAAGAAATTCCAAAATTCCTTTTTTTTAATTTTAGAAATTCTGGGAGCTTGCAAGGCAAGTAAGTGAGTTCATGGCATGGAGGCAGGTTGAGTGCCCCTTTGAAAAAGACCGAAAAATTCTCCATTACGTATTGACAGTCCCGATCTTCAGTGAGGATGGTAAGATATTAGTGGCTATCCCTGTATAATTTGTGACAGATATTAATAGTTCAATGAATATATGTGTTTTTGTTCTTTTTACGTTCACAGTTATTTTGATGAGCATTTTGTAATCTTCATAAATATCTCCCAAGATATGTAACAATATCTGTAAAAATCAGGCACTTTTTTTCCAGGGGTTAAGGGGGGGCAGGGGAGGGAGCTGTCTGTTGTCTGTGTATATTGAATAGATGTACCATCTGGCTTCTGATTGATCTAGAGCAGGGTATTGTGGGTGCTCATGTAGGTAAATGTGACAGTATGCTCTGATATCTTAGTGGTGTTACTTGTATTGGCCTCAAAACAAAAGTCTGCAATGCAAACTAAGAACATGTGTATCTCTAGCATTGAAATTGTCATTTTGTGTAGGGTTCTATTGTACAATTGGTTTCTCAATGCAAAAAGCGGTACATGACCTACTTCCATATGCTGTAATGTAGGCTGCCTACACATTTCTATTGACAAGGTGATTTAGTGGGTAATGTTAAAACAAATGACACACTACTTTCTCACGCAATGCTGCATATTAACATATCCAGAGGGAAAATAAAAGACCACAGAAAAATGGTTTGTGTAAAAAGATGTGATGCCAAATTGTTTCTTCTTCTTTCTCCTTGCAGCACTTTACTTGGCTTCCTATGAAAGCGAGGGTCCTGAGAACCACATAGAAAAGGACAGATGGAAGACTCTGAGGTATGTGAATTGGATCATCTCATTGGGCAATCAAACTTATTTGCTAAACTGTGATTTGTAGTAAGTTGACAACCTACTTGTAAAATTCAGGTCAGTTGACCACATGGGAAAATAATCTGTATTTCTGCCGAGTTTGGAATTTTCTTCAAACTAGGCTATTTGTAGTTTAGATTTCTCAAGCAGGTTGTCAACTTACTGTACAATGAAGAACTCCTCCAGGGATTTGTAAGATCTGTTTGCTCACTGAATTACGCTTTCTTCCCCTGCTGACACAGGTGGCAGAATGCAGTTTTTCATTTCGTTGCTGATTAAATGACCAGCATTTTCTAACTTTTTTTTATTTCTGCTGTTTTGCACTCTGTGACTTTGGGAACCACAAATTAGAACGTTCACCTTTTAAGCTGAATTTTAGTTTAAATGTAATATATACTTTATATTGCAACACACATACCACTGTGTGAGGTGGTGTACTGAAAGTGGAACAGTCCCTGTGGGAATCAATGTCATGTTTGCTGATTTCTCAATTTTCCCCATAATTGCTCTATCTACATTAAATTTATGTGAAGCCAAGCTTTTTATAAACATAGACTGACTCTTAAATGGCTTTCAGATCACAGTCTATAAAAAGCCCAAATGCACCAGTTTTATAGTGAGAGCCTAAGGAGATGGTCCAGGCACTGTTGATCTGCATTTTGAATCCAGTTAAAAGAGAACTCCAAAATTACATTTAAAAAATAAAATAAAAAAATCACTTCAGACTTTGTACTGTCTGCAGTGTGCACCACATAACAGGAATAGCTATAATGTTTTAGCCAATCCTGACACTACCATGTATGCACTGATCTTCAGAGAATTCGGCATATGTCATAAACCATGCCTTGCAAGTATTCATAGGGTCTGTAGTTTATTGCTAGTCACAGTTTCATTGATGCAACAATATAGATGAATCTGGTGATCTAATTGATAAGAGCCAAAACAGGCTTTTTTTTCAGATAGCTAATGACTCCATTTATACTTTTTCATGAATGGAGCTATTGATGCAAATTTTTTTAGAGGCAGCAGGGAATGGTAGTCTGCACCATCCTGAAGTAGACCTTCATTCCATAACCTACTCAATACACATTGTTTGCTATGGTGCTTTGAGTGTCCCTTAAATTCTGTAGTTTTACAGTTCATGGAGATAGCCTGTAGATAGCTATCAGATTTCATAATATACACACACTTATAGGTTTGTGCTGGAAGCCACTTTAAGATATAGTAAGAAATGTGAAGTTTGTTAATTCCTTCTCTATATATCTCAGAGATTACATGTCCAAATTTAATTATTTTATATTGTTTGAGGATTTTATAGAATACACAGAGAGAAAGAATTGTCAGAATTTCCCCTCCATGCAGACATTGCTTGATGGCCCCGCTGCTGTTCTCTGTCCAAAGAACACAGGTTCAACTGACCAGGCATTATTATAATTCAGACTGTATAACTCTATGATTCCTGATTTTGAAGCAAAACACATAATGTCTCCCAAGCTTGATTATAACCGAATTTCATGCAACATTTTTCTCTCCCCTCACAGGTCAGCTCTTTTGGGCAAAGTCTAACACGTGAAGTGCCTGTCATGACATGGCCATAATTTATGGACACTTTTTGCACCAAGTAGGATTTGAGTGATGGAAGCAAAGCAAGCAGCTGAGAGTCTCTCGATCACAGCATTGGTGAATCAAGACGGATTGAAAACAGAGAGATGATTAGTTCATTTCCAGGAACTGAACCATGAAGTCTTCTTAGGAGAACAATGATGGAATGTTTCACAGTCACCCTTATGCTGAGTTTCTTTTTCTCAATAACGTGAAGTTAGTTTTATTACTGGATTTTGCATCCTGTGTATCCGTCTGCACCTTAGCTGATGCTCCTGCCCTGTAGTAAGACAAAAAGAAATGCCACGTACAGAACAGTAGACACAATCATTTTTTCGGATGAATGTGAATATAAAAGTTGGGTTAGCCACTCGCTGGCGGTGGCTCGTAACCCATAAATACGGATTGGATTGTTTCAGTTCTTAAAGCTCATGTTTGCTGCTGGATAGTAAACAAAATGAACGCTATGACTTGCTGAAAAGGTAATAATATTATTTATGGCCAATACACAAGAGGCGTCTTCCCAGTGGTACAGAATCACAGCTAGCCTCGTGAACCCTCGCTGCAACAGAACCCAGCAACTGTGTCATTGGACTGTTCTCTAACAGACAAATCTGTTCTAAGCTGTTTACAAGAAATGTTTATTTGTTGTTTCCTCTCCCTATCCCTAACATTTTGCTGTTTCTTGTGATATATATTATATTTTTTTCTTATTTATTAATACATAATCTGTCCAGATTAGCATGGTACAGAACAAACTGTGCATTGAGGGCATTAATAATAGATGTTCTATATTTGTGTAACACTTTATTGAATTTTTTTTTGGTTGTTTGTTCTTGCAAATACTGTGGCCATAAACATCAGTTCCGAGAGTCTTTTTTTTTATTTGGCTGCATAGCTGTCAGAATTTGACATATTATCAACAGGAAATGCATATGCATAGATTCTAATGTAATTGGTTGCAGTGAATCAAAACAGATCTGGCACTTAAAGTGAGCCTGACATCTAAACAATTTTGGAGACAGGTTTATAGAGCATTTAAAAAAACTGTACTGTGGTACCAGCAGAATTACTAGCAAATGTATAGAGTGGATAAAACAAGTTTAAACTGGCTCCTCAAAAGCAAATATGTGTATTTAATATAAACCCTCTCTGGACTGGATAGAAATGAATTTGCATGTTAGGCCTCTCCCATATTTTCAGTTAGATGACACAACTGCCACCCATCTCATGTCTGACTTCTTCTAAATTTTCTACAAATTCTGCTATTACAGTGAAGATGTATGTATGTACGGATATATGTAGAGGGACAGGTGGGGAGAGAGAGAGAGAGAGAGAGAGAGAGAGAGAGAGAGAGAGAGAGAGAGAGAAAAATGTGTATATATAAAATGATGGCAAAGGAAACACTCTACTTAGTATATGTATTAATAATTTTTATTAAAGGTTTTCTAACCTGTGGTCAACATTGTTTATACCATAGTTTGAGTTAGTGCTCAGAGTACAGGATTCCAAAAGGTATATTATAAATACAATTAAACATAGTAGTCAGTTTTGGGAGTGTGGCAAATTTGAGGCCTATTAAGAAATTGCAGGATATGTACCTGAGTGTTAAAGGGACACTGTAGGCACCCAGACCACTTTAGCTCATTGAAGTGCTATGGTGCTGTGACCCTTTTGAACTTAGTGCTGCAATGTAAAACATTGCAGTTCCAGAGAACTGCAATGTTTACATTGCAGCACCAAGTCTACCCTCAATGGCTGTCTACCAGACAGCCACAGGGGGCGCTTCGGGAACCGTAACAGACTTTTGGTCCGTTATCTGACGCTGGAGGGCCTCATGCTTTGGAGGTCCTCATGCCTCCAGCATCAGATCCAACATTGATTCAATGCTTTCCTTTGGGAAGGAATAATGTGCACGCTGCATTTGCCGAGCATGTGCATTACAGTTTTGTATTCCTGGCACTACAGTATCCCTTTAAGCAACTACATGTAGAAAAAAATGATCACTTCCTGCCATATTAACCCTTAAAGGCATAATGACTATCAATGACACACTTACATTCTGGTACTTAACGATATTATACCAGCACACAGTGTGCTACTTATTTAATATAGGGATAAATATAATACTGCTCTGAAAGACTATTTAATATTTTAGCAGATACTCGAAGGACTAGATTGTTATAATGATGTAGGCCAACATTGATCTGTAATTAATTGCTGTTGTTTTTCTTTTGTTTTTTTTGTTACACCAAGTGTCTAGAACCAGACCTTTACTTTTTTTACATCAGCATACAGCAATCCTCATAATTCTAGATAGATGGTGTTTCTACTTTTGTCTTATGCATTGTAGGTCAAGCTGCAATGCTTCAGCTAGGACTATAAATCTTAATATTCTCTGTCTAAAAGTGATTCAGTTGCTATTTCACATTACAGCTCAGCCAGACCTGTTCCTGTACATCTGCTGCTTCTAAAATGCAGCAACAAATGAATTTATATCTCAACAATTAAGTGTATTAATAATAATTTTCTATGCCACTTTAGATGGTTATTTATTTAGCGAAAGTCAAACGCTATGCACCATAAAAGAAGTATGATTAAGTGTGACAGATTTCACATTCATAACGTTCACAATATGACTTTTTAAAAGGACATTGAAAGTACCATAGCCACTACAGCTTATTATAGTGGCTATGTATCTTTGAGTCTTTAGTGCTACCTTCATGTTTTCTGGCTCTCCCATGCACCAAATTGTAAATCTACATTTCTTTCAAATGGGTGCCTCCTTCTTAGCTAGGTGTCATTGATTGTCACAAGTTCTGCTCTTGGTACCTGACACTATACAGAGAAAATGAGGAATGTAAGATTACATTTTTTATCTTCATTTGCCATGTTTGCCCTGTCTTTAACTTTTCTGAACTGGATTATGATTTAATTTGCTAAATATTTACTATAATTTTAAAAGAAAATGCAGAATCTCATAACCCCCTCCTCCCCCTCCCCCTCCCCCCCAAAAAAAACCAAACTGTTTAACATAAGTCAAAGGTGATTTACTCCCCTGATTTATTCAAAGGTATAAATCCCAGAGGCGTTACAATGACCTGTTAGGGTTAAACTCCCTCTTGTGACAGATTTGGTCTGCATAAAGTCAACATCTCCAAAAATTTAAAAATGATATTGTTTTCATGAAGCTGAGAAAGCATGGAATATTATAAAAAACTAAAATACTGGGTAAAAAAAGGATTTTAATCACATATTTTATACTAGCACAATGGGAAGCTTCTGCAGAAATATTTGTATTTGATAAGCCTACTTGTAATGCAAAAGTTAACTTCTAGTTGCTTTATTAAAGCAGATCTGTCACTTTCAGGGGTAATTGCATATTTCGCAAAGACCCCTTAATCTAACCGATCAGATGTGAGTGGGGTGGCCGTTGGGTTCACGGTAGGTAGGTTTTACTTAGCTCAGGCTGCTCTTCACAGCCTACACAATCTTCCTCCTGCTGACCTTTTCTACTCCTGGCGTTTTAGTTGCCAGGAGCCATGTCGGTGCTGTACAATTGCATATGCACAAGAGTACAACACTGAGGTCTATGGGGGATCCTGCAAGATCGTGGAAGCCTTTATAGGCATAACCATTATTTGTGATGGCTGCTGAGACAGGACACACTTTTGTGTGGTTTAGAGAAGAGAACGGTGTAGACATTCACCAACATGTTGAACTGTAACAACTTGTAGTCCAGCACCCTAACACCTCTTATTTTGAAGAAATTCCATGTTCAGAGTTGCTTGAGTAACTTCTTAATGGTCTAATTGATTTACACTTGCCTTGAAAACCCCTAATATTGGCATACACAAGACATCTTTGTCTACATTTAAAATAACCCATAATATTCAGTACTTGATATAAACTCTTAAAATCTAGGTTTTAAAAAGCTTCAAACTGATAAAGAGTGTAAATATAAAGTCACAGGTATGTAGACGAAAACACTGGTTAAATTGTCCGAATTATTTGTTTCTCTTCTGTATATGCCATATACAGTCTATCCATTTTTCATTTTTACTATCTAGGATTTTGTTCTGGTTTTATACTTCCATTGAAAGTTGAACCAAAGTTAAAAACAAAATATATATCCAACCAAGAAAATTCATACAATTAATTGAAGAACTGGTCCTCTACTGATGTGTAGTAGAGCGTTGGGAATATGCAGCATAAATTATATAGGAGGAAAAAAATATGTGCAGACATGCAGCTTCATGGGTAATCTCACAATCACTGTCCTGTGCCCACAAGCCCATTGTTTACATTACTTACGACTTGCTACATTTTTGTAAACGGAATGTTCTATATACCCAAGTAAAAAGTCATATAAAGTAAACAGCCACAGTCTTCTGTTCTTGACAAAAGATATAGCATATATATATATATATATATATATATATATATATATATATAATGGATGGTTCTGTGATGGTGTTTCTTCCAATGTACTCTATTAACTCAGTTTGCTATAAATGAGTATTAATTGCATAATGTAAATGATTTACTTCATAAAGCCATTTTATACTGCTTAATCATAGAGGTTTTTTTCTCACTAAATTGTGAATTCTACAGAATTGACCACAACATTACATATTTTAGTACAGAATGGTTGAGTAGGAAATGCTATCACTTCAGCTTTTATGACTTAAAATGTGAAATTATTTTGTCATTTCTCAATTTTTCTACTTTAAAGGGATACTCTAGTCACCAGAACTACTACAGCCTAATGTGATACTTCTGGGACAAAGAGATTGCCCCTGCAGGCTGAGCATAGTAAACACTGCCAACATAGATTGTCTGATGTTCAGCGTTTACATACTCTGCTCGGAGACACTGAAAGCTCCCCATAGAGCTAGCTGCATTGACTCAATTCATCTTTGTGAGAAGATGCTGATTGGTTGCAGCATGGTGATTTCTGCGCAGGTGCAATAGCCCCCAAATTAGATTGGATGAGATCATCAATTTTGATGATTGCAGCCAGCAGAGGTGGGCAGCATGGTGAGACTGGCGCTCCAGAAGTAAAAAGTAAGTAAATACTTTTTTAGAATTTTTTAGTCGGGGGGACAATAGTCCAAATAGTTGGTATAACATTATAGCTTTAGGAATTCAAGCTTGTTTTCTTAGCGCTAGATAGTTTTTTTTTTGTTGTTTTTTTTAATGAATAAACCAATCTAAACCACTTACAAGGGTATACAAAAATCCAAGGAATTACAACAGAATTTTCTCAAAATGTCTGCGTGAGAGATATTGTCCTTTTTGTGACTAAGTATTTTTGCTTAACATTTGAAATTCTGAGGTCAACAATAATTGTAAAGCCAATCATTGGCTGTTTAATCAGTGCTGTATACATTTGTTCTTACAAAAAATTAATTTGAGCGCATTAGCTGTTAAACTAACCAGCATATAAAATCTAAGTAGTAAAAGCTCTGAGATATTCACATGCCATATCACTGGATTAAAGTAAGATTTATAAAACACAAATAGTAGAACTTCTGCAAATATTCCTGTCTTACGTGATCAAATCATATTTTTGTACTTCATTTATATTTCAGTGTGGTATTTTTTATTTGTTTTTGCTGTGTATTATGTATCATTACATAATATTCCAATTTTCCACAGTATGATGTTCTAGAACTAAAAGCCTGGTGATTGTAAGGTAGAGGGCACAATAAATGGAGCACCGTGAATTCTCTTTGCACTTTCCAAATACAATGAAAAGGTACTATAGTGAAGGTGCATATTATCAGTTATACAGATGCAAATGTCCAACTTTACGAGTGTGTGCATGTTTATTAAATCTAAAAAGATATACACACACTTAATAACTCATTTCATATTGTTATGTATTTTGAAATGCTTAGAAAATGCATTTATAATTTATGTAGTTGAAATTAAACTGAATAAAATGAAACTGCATTGTAAAATAATGGTATTGTCTTTTTCTTTTTTTTTTTTTTTACAACCTGGTTTTATATAGAAAAAATGATTTTAAAAAGTGAGATAAGGGCTGCGCCAAATCCAGAAACGAGAGACAATACAATATACAACAAAATCAAAAATGTAAAAAATGAACAAATATATTCACAAAAAAATTTAACCGATTCAAATCCGCATTAACACCATGGGGTATAAGAGTTTGTAAATTATACACCCATTCCATTTCTGTTTTACCAAGAATGTTTTTTTTATATCTCCACCTCTCCACGGAGTAATACATTTCTTTATACCGATACATTTCAACAGTTTAGGGTCTTTGTTATGCTTAATAAAATGTTTGGATACTGAGTGATTCAAGTATCCTTTTTTGATATTTCTGCAATGTTCGCTTAATCTAATTTTAATCACGTTATGGTCACTGGTTTTATGTGCACTTAAAGCCTGTTTATCTTTCATAGATGAAGCAGCAACGTTTTGAAGAAGGTTGCAATTTACAAAATGTACAGTGTTTAATACATGGTAATGAATTACAGTTTTGAGGTCTAGATACTGTTCAACGAAAGACATTACTATTGTATTTAGTGCTGATGTGTCCAGAATATGATTGGATTGCTAAAACAATCCACTAAAGATATATCTGCATTGCAAATCCTGCTAAAAAATCTTCATCTCATTATAGAATTGGTTCATATGTCTACTCTATTGAAAGATATGTTGAAATTAGCAGGGCTCAAAATTTCCACTCGCCTAGTAGTCATGAGCTATTGATAATTCAGTCTTGGCGTCTAGAAATTCACCTCTGGTGAGTGTGTCATAGACCATTCAGCCCTGCAGTGGTTATTAACGTGTAGGCTTGGCTAGTAATATAGGACTTGACATTTTGAGTCCAAATTTGAGCATTTTTCTTCTAGCTCTCCTGATCTAAGCCCTGTACCACTGGACCTTGCTCAGACAGAGTGACTATAGTGGAGATTGTGATGGGTGGACCCATGTAGGAAGTCAAACTGTTCTAAAATGAGTTTGCCTTAATGCATGGTGCGCAGGGAGGTAGTGGGGGGGATGGAGGGGGTTATACATGGCCCTGTCACCATAAACACTATGGCATGTTTCCTACTCAGAGGGGAGGGGTGTGTCATTTTAAGGACATTTTCCAAGATTACATTGGCAGAATGTGTTCCTGGCAGTGAAATGTGTTACCCCACAAGCATCTAACAATTTCTGGAGTATAGGTAAATAAGGGTTTATGGACTAAATATTGTTTTGCCAAGCAAATTTAATATCTTTTTTTTTTTTTAAAGTGCATCAGTAACTACCCAACCCATATCTGAGAAAGATAATGGGCTGAAACAATCCATTAAAATAGTTATAATAATTGATGCCAAACTGCAGACCGATAATAATGGCTAATAATACAGTGACTTTAAACACTATACTAATTATGTTTTGCAAAAATATTCACATATATGATCGGCTGTTTCAATCTAGCTTTTACTTTAAAATTATGCTTAAAACGCAGAGAGGCATTTAACAAAGTGAACTTATGAATGTTATTTTCCTTTCTTTTATAAAGATTTTAAATTTTGTTAACCATGGTATCTCAAATTAAATTAGCCCAAACATTCAAGTATAGGTGATGTTAGTTCCTTTTGGAACTATGTGTCCTGTGTGGATTTTTAGGGATCCCAGCTGCAGAGTTTTCACAGCTATTGGCTGGCTGCACAATCCCTCTAACCCCGGGTCAAGTCAAAGAGAGCTTAGGTGTTTGTATCTACTCCTGGTTGGGGCACTAGATTTTTTTTTCTTTTTGCTTCTTTTATTACTATTTTTTCTTAATATTCAGCTTAGAGTGTGGGCTGTTAATACCAGTTGTTTAGTGGATGCACACCTCTTTTAGACCATAATTTCTTCCTTCCTATATATCGGAGAGGAATTACTACCTCTTGATTTATTTGTTACTTTCTATGAATATACTACTCTGTATATTTTTACCTTTTCTCAGTTTTCATATGTAAATCCAAAACCTATCTCCATGATATGTTGCAAAACATGAACAACTATTTTTTTTTTAATTCATGTGCACACTTTCTTTTTCATGTTTAGATATAATCATCTCTGGAAAAGTGCCACATTATTGAATATTATGCACAGTCCAGCTACCCACACCACCTGAAACCCAGATTCATTATGATTAGCACATTATTACTATTTCATGCTACAAAAAGAAAATGGGTCAAGCCGTGTTCTGAATATGGAATAACCTTCTGGAAGCCGTCAAATCAAACTCCAGTCTGAAAGTGCTTCAAACATCTGCTTCATTTTTTAATTTAAAATCAAAATACAGCTGCAGTTATTATTCATGCTTATTTTTTTGCGCATCATATATTTTCATATAAGAAAATGTATTTTATAAAATAAAAATAGTAACAGAATATATCTATATTACTTGTGTACAGCGCAATTGTTCGGTTCTTCTGAACAAACTTTCCCATGGCAAGTAAGAGAAGTAAGAAGTTGTCTGTCAGAGCACTCTGATGGGTTTGCTTACACGCCACCATTGACAGCACTAATAAGAATTCAAAGCATGGGACAGTCTTTCTAAAGTTTTTTTTGCAACTATTTGTTATCTATTATGTACAGCAGTCAAATAATACAGAATTATTTAAATCCAGGTTTTGATTTGAAGCATTCAGGTCCGGAGTTCAGCAATCCAGCAGTGTTAGATCTGTTTGAATGCCAGACATAATTCAGGGTTGATCACCGCCTGAATTGCAAAATCCAGAAATTGTTAATTAGTGTAAACAATGTCTGAATTTTGCAGCCTAAATTGCCCCCCTACAGCACCATTCAGTTTGCCCCATTCAGTATGGGGCCATTTGGGCATTAGTGAATAATGTGTAGCTAGTTCCACGCAACCAATTTTAATTGCTCCCTTGAATCCTCAAAATATCAAATTTAGTGCAGGTGCTTTACGAAGGAAACCTGCTTCCGATCTCGTCTCCCAAGTTAGAGTACAAAAATCAACCTCAGCAGCACTACTTCAATTGCGAATTTGACTTTATTCAAACATTCAGATATGACATAGTCTGTTTTTGGACAGCTGATGAAAATGTATAAACTTTGAAGCAACATTGTTGAACTTTATTTTCTGCAGCATAATGACATCTTTCTCCTGTGCTATATTTATAAATATTATGTTATGTTACTAGAAATCATGACCAAGTAATTACCCCCTTCAATATCCAAAGAGAGTATAAATATTTTTATTTCCTTGTATTTTGCAGTATAAAATTTAGTCTGTGAAGCCTTCTTCGCCATTATTTATATTCTTGTTATGATTAAACAAACCCGTTTTCCTGGCACTATATCCTCCTGAAGTGCCCCCCTCCCTTAAAACCCCTTCAGACACTTACCTGAATCCAGCTTCACCTGCCTCGTGGGCCAGGCCGAGAGGAGTCACATATCCAGGAATCAGTGCGACCTCTATCCCTAGCATCCCATCCAGGCAGAACACTGAGAGGGTGAGTAGGCTGCAGGTAGGCAGGAGGGGTAATGCTATATCTAAGGGTTGGGGGGGCTGGGCATGGATCCCGGGACTGCAAGTCTGACAGCTGGGTGGGTATTACCCCTGGGGTCGTTACATTGACTCCATCGTTCCGGCCCCGGCTTCTACGCTACAGGTCGTTCTGCCTGTGGTTCCGTTGTTGGCTACTGAGCAGCCTGCAGCGGCGGTGTCAGCCTCCTGTGGCAAGGTGGCCCAGGCCGCCCATGGTGCGGCTTACATGTGTTGGTCTGACCCACTGGGCCTGCACATGAAGTCGGACGTCAGGTAAAAAATTTGGAAAGAGGAGTTTGTGAACATTTTTTCCCTCCTCCCCTTGGAGGACTTGCCCCCCGACGGATAAAGATGCTAAGGAATCGGACAAAGAGAAGGAGCGTTTCCGTTATAAGAAAATCCCGAAGACCTTTGGTAATTGGATTCAGGCTTTTTTCATCCTGGCCAGCGTAATTGGGGAAAAAAGCACCCAAGAAATGCTCTTCTCTTTTTTGTTACCAAAACTATGTGGACATGTGTCTCCCAATGGGGTGCACAATTTTGTGTTTTACTTTGAATGCTTCAGTTCCTTTTTGGAATGGGTGGTGTGGGAAGAGTCGGGGCACGACTTCTTCCTTCATTACCTTGATGATTTTTTTGTGCGTGGATCCCGCCCATTCTCCAGTGTGAGCTCAACTCCTTCAGTCAGTCGCCGATGTTGCCTGTTCCTTCGGGGTCCTGCTGGCCCCTGACAAGACTGTGGGCCCCACAACATGTTTGAGCTTTCTTGGGATCGAGATTGATTCCGCTGCTGGGGAATGCCGCTTACCTACGGACAAGAGGGGGGATATGCGGGGGGTAGTTGAGTCGGCGCGGGGCATCTAGAAAATTATCTTGCAGCGGCTACAGTTGTTCCTAGGAAAATTGAACTTGGCATGTCGGATCATGCCCATGGGCTGGGTATTAAATCGGAATTTGATGGTGGCTACATCTGAGAAGCCACACCACTTCGGCGTCTTACCAAGAGCAGCCGCGGACAGTACCCCCTGCCCGGCGAAATTGTGGTACCTTGGCCTGAATGAGTGAGCGCGTGGATTCGTTCTTCGGTGTCGGAGGCCACGTGGACTCGGTATGGTAAGGCATGGGGGGAATGGTTAGTCTTTCGCCACAGAATCGAAACGCGTCATCACGCACGTCCCATGGTTACGTCATTAGGCTCCGCCTCCAGGAAGTGTTTGCGGTATTGTGCTAGCCGGCAGCCATACTGAACGGAATACGTTCCAGAGAAGGACTGAGGGAGCTAAGTGACACCACTTTGGTGATTTTTAAATTGTGAAGATTTTCTGAAATTAAAGATTTTTTTCCGATTTGCTGCCGTCTTGTGACGCTTGGCTTTAAGCATATACAAAGCGGATACAGTTAGAGCAGACTTATCTTCT